TCATGCGTATGGTTCTTATACAAAAATGATAATATTAACTGGAATTACTATGGAAATAGTAAATGCACAAGTTTTGATATTCCAGATGTGCGCAGCCTGATTCGAGAGGCAATTCTATTCTCACTCACAGTCACCCGAATCCTTTATCTGACTAAAAGAGAAATAAACTCAAGCATCTTTCCCACAATGGCAAAGTATATTAAAGGATTAAGATAGCACAACCTGGATATCCCTAGAGGAAGGGTTTCTCCATAACCTTTGTACAAAAATATATTTACGAATAAATATAACCGATCGAACATAAGCGTGGTGGTCTACAGGAACAATACCCTTGTAAATAGGGTGTTCTCCAGAAATATAGGCAAAGGCCCGAAAAAATAAAGCATTGACTTACGGCAAGCACATAATTGCGATGTTTCAATAAGTTATTTCACACACCAGCATTAAAAATGAAGTAGTAAGATCGCAAACAATACAAACGAATTGAGTACTCCTTTAGATTATTGAGACGAAAAATAATGGATAAGCAGAGTCCATAAACATTTTGGCAGAAACACAGGCATTATGAGAAGAATAGATAACAGCAAAGACAATTTATTTTATAATAAGTAAAAACGGAACAAAAAGCGATCACTCAATAATATGCCGTGATAAATGCTTAGCGATACCAAACATACGGAATCTCTTTAGACCAAACAGATTTTGCCAGTCACCATCGCAAATGACAAATTGCTTGTTAGCAGGATCCTAAAATAGATAAAAGGCATATGCACTTACAAATAGGTTCTTTTCCTTAGCAATAGACCAAAATCTTTTCACCAATTCAGCTCTAGATAGTTCCGATGCCCCAAGGTAAGATGCCATTTCCTCTGATAAAGTCAATTGTCGCGTGAATCCAGTGCCTCCACCAGAGTTTCTGGGGCCAGTAGATGAACGACTTGATTTGATTTTAGCTAATATATATTAAAAATAGCTTATACTTTGTGAGGTACGCCTGCGCATACCATTTTCTTCTGCATGAAGACTCCTTGCTAGTTCCTCATCACCTTTTCTTTTTTTCTTAGGTGACGGATCTAAATAGTCATCTTCACTACTGGAATCGGATGAGTCAGACCGTGGTTGCTGAAGCTTTATAGACGAAAATGCCTACCTTTTTCCTAGAACCATTCTCAGTATCTCTGGCCTTTTCATTTTTCTGAATTTTTTCGAGAGTTTGAAGTATTATCGACTCTATTCTGCCCTTTTCATTGCTCAGGTCAATGTTAAAATGTTCTTGAAGTTCCACCCTAACCTTTTTTGATGTAACCTGGGATAAATCCGCACCCTTGAGGATTACTAATTACAATAAAGTGAAATGTATGAAAGCAATGAAAACCTTCAACCCGAGCCCGGAGGTCAGAGTCAGAAGGCGACCCCATGCTCATATGAGGGCGCAAAATTAAAAAATAGACAGTATGTAAAAACTTAAATATTATATAAAAATTAATAAATAGGCAATTTTATTTTAATAAATTGGTCTCATATATTTAAGTCGCGACACTCGAATTGCGAGACTCTTAAGCTACTCGGCCGACTCGCCTACTCCAA